ATGACATTAATATGAACAAAAAAGATTTATTTAAATTAATTAAAACGTTATATTGAAAGATTATTATAATCAGTGATTATTTCATTCAATGGAGATTTCTGTTGTATTTAAATAAATTATAACAATCAAGGATTAGTATTTACATGAGTAGTTTATATAGTAATCATACTTAAAATTAGAGTCGAGTATTATTCAATATTATTAAACTGATATTAGCTACAGACTCTCTTATAACGCTTGATTGGTTTGTAATATAGCTAATGTAAATATAATTGAAGCCCAAATTATTGATATGGTTTACGGGAGGCTAAAGTATAATATGCGAATTAAAATTGCAAGCGATGACTTGCTTCTTAGTACTACTACTTCCGTGCTTCTCCTTTGATTAACGAGCTGCAATTATGTGGGGGAGAGAAATCGAAGAGGGTCGGCACTACGGTGATGGTAAAGGAACGTCTGTAGCGGACAGCCGTCGTATCCGCAGAGATGTTGCGGCGAAATTCGAATACAGAGTGAGGAAAGCAGAGAGCGACAGCAAGGGAGGTGGGAACAGTAGTTAAAATATGTAAAGTAGGTAAAATATATAGATACGTATATACGTATGCATGCATGTATTTACATACGCACATGTAAGTATTTACGCACGCACGTTGCATGTACACTGAGATATATAGAGATAGAGAGATAGAGAGATATATATATATATATATATATATATATATATAGAGAAAGATAGAGAGAGATAGAGAGAGAAATCCAAAGAGATAGATAGATGGTGTTCGATCATGTTACTGAATACAATAAAGAAGACTCAAGTTGATTTTCACAATGCAGTCGTTAATTGTTACTTCTGTGCTATATTTACAGGCGCGTGTTACGTGTAAGACTTACGCGCGCGCACACACCTTCTCATTTCAAGGCACTCTTGAGATAATGAAATCTTTTTCGGACTGATATCGTTGTTTTGCCAATGAGTATATTTATATGGATGAACAGATAAAATTTGTCGTGTCCTGGAGTCTTCGATGATTTGATTTCATTACTTCTACCTTCGTACCCTTATACGTACGAAGACTGCCGTTCATTTAAATACGAGACAAATTTATTATTAAGCTTAGTTTTCTGGCAATTTTCCACTAATTCTTTTTCGCTTAATCGTATCATTATAAAATCGACGATCTCATAACTAATTCTAACAATAAAACTTACCTTTTTCTCCATTCATTAAAATCCCATCTTTAATTTATAATATCTTTAAGAATGACAAATTTATGCAAGCAAAAAATAATCATTATTTTAAACAAGAATTTTTTAAATAAAACGAGCACTGTAATTTAAAGAGAAAATTTATCAATATATGATGAATAATACGAAGAAGGATATTTATGAAAGATATATAAGTAAGATAAGTCACTTGAATATTCTGTAATATAAAAAATATTTAGAAGTAGAAGCGATCGGATCAAGTCAGGCGTCAATTTAATTATCTGACAAAGGTATACGCTTGAATATGTATTCCTCGCAGCTTCCGCAGGGAATAAAAAATGCCAGTATTTTTAATCACGCGTTTTCTCGGACATACTTGAAATTCAACATATTTTACACTGTATTTGAAATGTTAATATTTTTTATTTATGGGCATTCTCGATTACACAGACCTGTATTTGGGATAAATGCCAAATAAAGCAGCCTCGATTATCGCGCGAGCGTAAGGATAAAGAGTTGCAAAGTACCTTAACGTTGGACAGTTATAATAGGGATAAAGGTCAAGCACGTGGTTTTCATGTGGTGATCGGGAAAACGGCATCAGTCTGCACGCCAGCACAAAATCAACAAGTGACTCAACCCATTTCGCCCTCTTTGCCTCCTCCGGCTTCTCGCGGTGAGCACTCCACAGGTGGCACACGTATATGTGTAAAATTTGTATTTATCTTGGCCACGTAGTTCAGCGCGAGCGACTCTCATCCTCGCTTCGGCCGAAGGGACGAGGTGAGAAAGCTAGAAATATTCGTCTTTTACGGGTTATTTGCGAGTTCAAGAGCCAAGCGACGTCGCCATATTCGTGGCTGCGAGCTCTTTAGCACGCCACGCACGATATAATAATCGGATTCTTTTATGGTGCTCCCATTTGCACTCGCCCTTTTTCTCTCCCACGTTCGCCCCTCATTTTCCTTCTCTCTCTCTCTCTCTCTCTCTCTCACTCTCTCTCTCTCTCTTTCTCTCTGTCTTTCCCTCGAGTGTCGGAACGACGAGAGCGAAGGGAAGGGAGGAGCGAAGCCCCCCCCCCGCCCCCGCCCCCATTCGCAGCTAACTATTCGAAATTTCAATTACTTTTGGGTAATAAAAAATTACTTGGCGAGACAAGGGAGGGATGTTTTTATATCTTACGACTTTGCGGGCAGAATTTCAAATGGTTATATGGTGGGCTTAAGCGAAACATTTTTTCGACGATCCTCGCGAGTGAAATGGGGTTAGGCAAATTGTGAATGTCGAACGAATCGGAGTATTATAATTGTCATATACGAAGATACGGCGATGCCCAGCTAATTAATCACTTTTATAGATGCCCGCATATTTATTATAATGTTTCATAATTTTCTTCTATTATATTTAAGGCCTGCGCATTATCAGAGCGTAAATGCAGAATAA